AAAGAGTGTTTAGACCACAACCTATTGAATTTCATTCACCCCTACATTTGGTTAGCTCTATGTAGCTGCATTAGCCTCAGTGGAAGAACCTGGGTGTAAAAATAGAGTATTATTTGGCTATCTCAATCCTAGTAAAAGCAAGATACATGGATTTACTGAAGCACAAATCAATTTGTAATGACTTTTGTGGATACAATTAATAGCTGCTGGATAAGTAGCATGCATTTCTGTTTTAATGAATAGCACACAAACTCACATCCTATTTGAAAGAAATGATTGAAAGTAGTAAAAAGTTTGACATTTTACCATCATCGGAAGCCAAAGAATGACTTTTGTCAAAGCAAGGATGAGTGAAAAGCGTTTCTGAGCAAACCCCACAGTGAAGCTCCTGCTCCATGTACTGTTTGTGCAATGGGGCTCAAGTCCACTGCTCTCAGCTGCGCTTTTTCTCAATGCTGTCTCTGAGCTTGGACAGGCATCTCGGAAATGCTTTAAGGTTTTATCCACAGGGTCCTCTGGAGAAAGGGATGGAGTGGTACTACAGATGGGGGGTGTACCAGGGGTTAGATAGCCTCGGGATATTTCCTGGTAATCAACATAAAGATGCTGTTGTTCATCTGAACACAACAGCTGGTAAGTTAGAGGGACAGAAAGCACAGTAAGGAGGCAGAAGCACAGAGCATAGACAATAAATAAAAACATGACATAGGAACTGGTGCAGTCAGTGAAGCAACCCCATGAGGTGGGTGCATAGGTGCCCCAACCACAGAGAGGCAAAATACATATCAGCAAACTGACGATCCAAATCATGAGAATCGCCCATATCACGCTCACTGGCCGTTTGGAGGTTCCTGGACTTATCCTCACTGCTTTGTTGATTGTGTAGAAGTTGTACGAAACTATAAGAGAGCCTTTCAGATTGCTAGAAATGCCCTGAAATAAATACAGCAGAGCTGAGGTGGTGCACAGAGATGTAGGGAGTGCCTCGCTGGACCACTGCATGAGCATAAAGAGAGTCACTGGCACAACACTTATCAAATCATCCACAGACAGGGAAGTCACAATCACTGAAACAGTGGTTTTGTTTTGCATTTTCAGCAGGGTAACTAGTGAATAAACACTGCCTATAAGAACAGTGAATGTAATTATAAAAGTCAAGCAAAAAAGAAAAATATTTAAAGTTGTTTGTCCATTGGATTTATCCAGAATGCCATGATTTTCAGGAACAAAGTTTGTCCCATTTAGTGATAAATTATTAGTTGCTACCGACATTGTCCTTAAGGATTTTATTGAGTTTCCTCACTGACTTCACAAGTTTTCATCAGATGTACCTTAACTGTTAGCTTCTCATCACAAGTTTCTTCTTTGTTCTCAAAGACTCTCCCTTTTGGCACCTGATCAGGATATGTTCAGATGTGTCTTCTCTCGCTGTCCAAAGCAACTCATGCTCACAAATCTGGCTCCGTCAAAGGAAACATTAACATATGTACCAAAAAGCATAAAAAAGCAAATCCTCCTTAAAAGAGATATGGGAGGGCGGGTTGGTCTGCTGCTTTATAATCCGTCCAAATAGAAGAGGTTGGCTAAGTTTTGCTCTTGAGGTTAAAAAAAAAAAAAGCCATTCACTTTTGACAGATGTCAGACAATGTGCTTTTACTTGAGAGTTCCACTGAAATGAAGACCGACATGTTCAAGTCCTACTGGCTCACGGAGAAACATAGTAGAGAATGAGAGGCTCTTTGATTCAGACTGCGCTGTTCAGAGCTGCAGGAGGGAGGAGTCAGATCCAAGCAGGATAACAGAAAAGAGGGAAATGAGTATCTTCTCAGACAGAGCTGCCTCTTAGCTAGATCACAAGCACAAAACAGTGTCTTTGCTAAGCCCCACCTCCAATGCTGACACGAAAATCCAATGCAAATACTCAGATCTGATGTCAGCCATAAATGTCATCCCTTAATACCCAGGCCTGCTCTATGGCTACATCACGAGCTGCAGAGAGCTGCTTTTTATTTTTACATTTTCTGTACTCAGAGCATGGAAAGGGGGAAGCTGCAGAAGCCTTTATAAAAAGGTGAAGCAGAGGTGTGTTTGGGCTTTCAAAAATTTTTTTTAGTCTTACTCTGGCTGTATGCATGCATGCTTGTGTGTGTGTGTGTGTGTGCATGTGCGTGTGTGTATTTACTTATTAGCAAAATGTTGTTGCAAATGCACAACAATCACCACTGCAAGTTGGGAAGTTATGCACTGCCTTTGTGATAGCTCAGCCTTATGCTGAGGAATATAAACTTCTATTTCACAGAAAATCCAATGTGAATGGCATCAAATACACAATGCACTTGACTAAGTACAGGCAACCCTGCAATGTGAGCATCTTCTGGTGGGTGTAACTGTCTTATATTTTGTAAATATGATGCTGATCAGTGACAAATTGCCAGCATCGGCAACAGACCAGCATCTTGCAGGCAGGCAAGAGTAATGCAATCATTTTGCACAGCTCTGCCTCTCTACTCTGACCAACAATACTCCTTCTATTAAAAAAAAAACATGTTCGGGGGGGTGGGGGTGGAGGGGTTCCTTAGCTTTACTGTCCTGTTGTGTAGGATTATTGTAGATATACATGAAAATTCTTGATCAATGTTCTAAATTGATTTCACTTAAAACCTATATCACCAGCCTAATCCTGATCCCCATTCCACCTCCCTTGTGCTGCTTTTTCAGTACAAAACAATGGGCATACAGCTTGACAGCTGATGATGTCTTCAGCATGGTAGGGTGTTAAGTGAAAGACGTGGGACCACATCCAGTGGGTCCCCAGTTAGCCCTTTAAGGACTACTGCAATTGGGAACAATTTCAAAGCTACTATAAAATTGCTCCTCAAGAGCAGCTCAAGGATCAGAAAGCTTCAGAGTGGATTAACAGACCACTCACTTTTCAAGTCTGAAGCTACATCAGACATATCCCAGGACTTGGCTCACATACCTTTCCTTCAGAGTAGAACAGGATTGGAACTGACCCATGTGACTTCCTTGTCCTACAGGACTACTGACTGTGAACATGTGCTGCTCCAGCTGAAGGTTGGGCTCATTCCCTTGAAAGTAAGCTTACAAACTACTGCTGTCCCTGCCTCAAGCCAACAAAAATTAACAGCAGTACTCTTAATGGTGATATGAATAATCCAAGTCTTGTCATGAATATTGTCAAGCAACAGGAGGAGAAACACACATCAACTGTTTTTGGATCATTATTTTTTGGTTTCAGTAGCTGTGCTCTCAATAGGCCTATGCAAAGCAGCTAGTATTCGCTTTGGATTCGGATTCGGCTGATTCGGGGGACAGTGATTCAATTTAGTGATTCGAATTACTGTCCCGAATTGATTCAACCAAATCTGGTTCAGAGATTCGGCCACCACCAAATCTCCAAATTGGCCCCATCCCCTGTCTACTCTCCCAGCCCCATCAACAGCTGCCTCCCCCGGCCCCAGCTCCCAGATCTTTGGAAAAAAAAGCCCAGCGCTCACCAGCTGCTGCCAGGTGCGGGGGGCAATCCCCGCTACCACCCACTGCCCCATGCTGCGTGGGGGGCTCTGTCACAAGCCCCCACCTGCTCTCGCAGTCCCAGTGTCCAGCTCTTTAAAAAAAAAGAAAAAGCCCTGTACCTACCAGCTGCTGTAGGGGGGGGGGTGATCCCTGCCACCCCCTACTGCCCCACACTATTTGGTGGGGCTCTGCTATGAGCCTCCAGAAGCCCTGAGGCCACTGGAGCAGCTGGTAAGTATGGGGCTTTTTTTTAACAGCTGGGAGGTGGGACAGCCATGGGAACAGTGGGAGGGGGTCAGGGGCACTCAGGGGGGCTGGGGGAGCTGCCCATATCTCCAAAGCTCTCTGACTCTTTTCCGAATCAATTTGGAGAGCTTCAAATTGATTTGGAACTTTTAATTGGTCTCCTGATTCAATTCAGATTTGGAGGTTTTGCCACTGAATCAGGCCGAATCTCCTCCGAATTGAATCAGCACCCGAAGCTTTGCACAGCCCTAGCTCTCAACTTCCTTCATTCTTGTATTCCTTGCACATTCTCTCACTGGATGCATGAATGTTCTCCCTTGCCACATTTCTATGAAGGGAACTTGATGTTCTTTAGAGACTATTTCAAAAACCCTTAGATTTTTTTTTCCCATTGGGAAATGTTTCTTTGTTACTTCTTGCATCATGAAATGTTTTACTTGCATTTACAGTAGGTCTGACTGCTATGCCAGCTGCTTTGGGTCTAGCTGAGAAATCAAATACAATGTTTATGGTTCAAAATGTCAATTACTGGATGATCTCTTATGCACATGTTTTCACTGATGTAAAGACCGCTCTCTTATTTCTTCATATGAAGCCTTCATACTTTCTGTAAGTGTTGAACCCTTTGGTAAAAGCAGTTTCCCCTACTTATTTGGAAAGAAATGCTTATTATAGTTTTTAAAGGAAAAAATCTCTCTCAGATTTTTGAATCTCCTTTCTTATCAAGTACAAGCAATTTATAAGTAAATTCTGCTTCACTTGCCATTCAGTATATTAAATGACCTGATCTATACCTTGCCAATCTTTGTGACAAGTTTAACCGAAAACTACAACAGCTTCATGAAGTTGCATACCTTTACAAAACTAAAATACTTAAGAGATTAACTTTGCCATTAATTTTACCTAAAATGCAAGCCAGATCAAATTGAGCCAACTTCTGATAAAGACGCACAGAAAGCTTCTTTCTTCCAGTGCAAAAGATGGAACTTTGCTGGAATAAGAAACACGGTTTAATTTCCTAAACCTGTACTCACTCTCACTCCATTGTAGAGCCCCAGCCACACATCCTGGTTTCCTTACACAGTTGTTAAGTAATAATATGCTTGTCCTCATACCACCCACATCTTCTTTCTCATCTCTAAGTGAAACCAGCATTAATCAGAGAGCAGGGACCCTATGGAAGCTTGTGTGCCCTGCTTAACACTCTAAAAGCCTCCAAGGAATATGGAGTAGGGTCAACACAGGGAATATGGTCATTCTCTAGCATTCATCTCAGAAAAAGGTTCTAGGCTAAGTAAAGAGTCAAAAAACCCAAGGCTGAATCGATTCAAACATCTCAGGTTAGTCTAAGCTGCAAAGACTGAACTGCTATGCAAGTGAATAAACATTCACTTTTGATTCCAGAAATGCAGCAACATGCCTGCAGTGACTTAGGCCAGAAGTGGGGGGGGTACTAGAACATGTCTTCCTGCTCAGCTAGAGCAGACAACTTGGGCCAAGGATAGCTTACCCACCCTGCAAGGGTGGTGGGGGGAGGAGGGATGCAAGGGAGGTGCAAAGCATCCTGGGATGCTGGGGGACTGTGAGTTAACTTGAATCTGGAGGGGATCTGGGACAGAAGTTCAATAAACTGATTTAACCTAAATAAGTGACATTTGATACTACAGCAAAAGCTCCATTATCCAGCACCCATGGGAAATGGGGGTGCCAGATAAACAAATGTGCCAGTTATCTGAGGCATCTTTGCTTGTCGGGCAAAGACACCCCTCCCGCCATGTCCAGTACATCCATATCTCACATTAACTGTGCTGCCCCTGCCGCCCCTATCCTGGTGTCAGTGTGCCAGGGGAAAGGGAGGGGGCGCTCCGCACAGGCTGCTTTCCCCCAGGCTGTGGGATTTGATAAAACTGGAAGTCTCACTTCTGGTTTCCCTTTTGCCACATTGACCGGCATCAGCTGGCATGCCGGTTAATAGAACATGCTGGTTAATGAAGTGCTGGTTAATGCGGCTTTTACTGTACATTCTTTCACGTTTATCTTAAACTAAAAGAGTACGAAAAGAGTACTTTTCAGCTTCTGGGAGAAACCTAAACAGAGAAGCCACATGCTGATTGGATCAGTAGGTTGTCACCTGCAATGGATTGTTGATATAGCCATGCAATGACAGTAAAAGAAAAACGCTTCGCAAAAATCTTATTGGGCATAGGCTATGTGTAGGGGGTGGTATGGGGAAGCCCCTTATATTGGCCACTGCAGAAGCTGCCGCTGGCTTCTGCAGGCAGCCACTGCTTGCACCTGCCCCCTGCCACCCCCTTGCTGCCGATACATCCAGCGGCATCTGTGGGCAGTCCCCACTCGCCATTCACCCCCCATTCCCACCATCGACACCAATGATGGCAGCTGTGGGCTGTCCCCACTAGCCACCACGGTGCCCCAGTCTTGTTCATGTTATTGGGTATAGACAGACAAAATAACTTATATCAAGTAAA